ATACCTGTTTCTACGAACAAATGCATGGATGATATCAATTAACTGAATCCACAGGAACTCATACTTGGTGGGACGGACACCACTTCGACTACGATAGAGTGGGCGATGGCGGAACTGATGCGCAACCCTGACATCATGAGGAAGATCCAAGACGAGCTCGACGCAGTGGTGGGGAAGGAAAGAGCAGTGGAAGAGTCGGACGTGCCCAAGCTGGAGTACCTTCGTGCAGTCACGAAAGAGACACTCCGGTTACACCCAGTGGCTCCGCTCCTCGTTCCTCGCTCGCCGAGCTCACCTTGCACCGTGGGCGGATACACCATTCCCAAGGGCTCCAAGGTCTTCGTAAACGTTTGGATGATTCAAAGAGACGCCGCCATTTGGGGGGAGGATGCCGTGGAGTTCAGGCCGGAGAGGTTTCTGACAGCTGCAGATGACAAGTACGGGTTCCGTGGCACTAACTTCGCTTATCTGCCATTTGGATCAGGGAGGAGGATGTGTGCTGGGATCTCTCTAGCAGAAAAGATGGTGACGCACATGTTGGCTTCCTTCCTGCATTCCTTTCGCTGGCAACTTCCAGAGGGGGAGAAGCTTGAGCTCGGTGAGAGGTTTGGAATTGCGTTGACGAAGGCTGAACCACTTGTTCTTGTTCCAACCGCGAGATTTGATGATCCAGATCTCTATAGTTAACTCAAAGGGAGAAATATTCCATGTCACGTAAAATGTTGTATCTCAAGACTCATTGTAATATTTTGGCTGTTGGCATCTGATTCCATGCAATCTGCTCAATTATCTATGGTCAGTGTAATTTTCTCTGTGAAAGTAAACTATTTATGAGGTCATGCAATTTTTTTCTTTTTCTTAGAAATTTTTTGTTCTACAGTCAATCCAAGGTAATTTTTGTATATTAAATTAGAATATTTTATATATGATTACTAAATTAGAATCTTCTATAGCTTTGTAAAGAGACCCAGTAATTACTGTCTCTTTGATTCATGGAAGAAAGCTTTTTTAAGATATTGATTTATAATTAAATGGGGATGATTTAATTATATGATGTAACTAACTTAATGTTTATATTGATTTCAGGATTTTTAGAGTCTAATTTGACATTAAAAACCTCCTCAGATTTCCTTTTGAAAATAATAAAAATAATATATTTATCTTTCTAATTTGAGTTGAAGTGAACATATCTCAAATGATGATTACATATGATTTATGGTTACACATATTTTTACATCTACCTTAAGACAAACTATTTATTGTAGGGTATATTGAAACTATTGGTTTTGGAATAGGATAAACTATTGGTTGTTAGAATAGCAAATGGCCAATTTGCTATTCTAACAAACAAATAAACATATATTTATTTTAAATATAAAAAATTTATCCTTTCCAAAAATTAAATAATAACTAGTTGGGGTTATTTTGGGAAAAGAAATCCTATAAAAATCTATAAATACCTCCAAACTTCTCAGTCTTCCTCACACCAATTCATCAAGCAATCATAACTCTCTTTAATTGTAATATTCTTTGCAATGGCAATTTCTCCCTCTCCTAAGCTCTACCTCAAATTCAATAACAAGTGAAAGTTCAATGCATCAAACCTCAACATTTATGATCGAGGATAATTTCGAAGGTCTGATTGTACTTACTCAAGAGAGCTTACATTTCACTATAAAATAAGAGGAAAAGGATCCAAAATTATGATGGCTTGTTTTATTTAGGTCAAGATGTGAGTTGATTGTGATGATAAGTCGACTTTGTAATACGTAGATATATACTTGATCTTATATTAGAATTACACACTTGTGATATCTATGGAATGTCATTGAGAACATTATCATTTGCTTAGCTTCTTTTGATGAATTTTAAGTTATACATGTATTTTAAAAAAAATTATCCGACTAATTGTTTAGCGAACTTTTGGTACGATTAATAGTGTGAATCTATTTTAGAGGGAAGATTATGCATGAAAAAGAATATAGTAGACTTGATATGGACATGCAACCTACCATATCTTTTCAAGGGTGGACGTGATTATGAGCTGTCACCATGGCTTATCATGTACACATCGACTCTTGCATTTGATTTGATAGCCGCACGAAGAAAAATCTTAGCAACGTAAGCAATTTGTCATAAAAATAAGATTATTTTTATAATTAAAATTCTCTAATATCCTAGTTCTTAAATTAAAAATTTTATATTAAAATTTTTATAATTAGACCTATCTCGATCCTTAAACTTAAAAAATTTACATTAAAATTTCTATGATTATGAAAGTAAAATATTTAACCTCATTTATCTTAACGTTGTCGGTTTTATCGACGAAAGATATAAATTGAGTCAAAATTATTTTTTTGTCCATCGTTTTTGTGTCACTCATGACATTGATAAAGTCGATCATTGTATCATTCTTGCTTACCACCATCACAATGACCACCTACAATGTCATCGTCCGCTACTATCATTAAACTTATCTTTTTGTCTATCATTTTATGTTATTTATGCATGTGTTGTCATACGCTATATTTTCCATCAGTAAAACCAACAATGTTAGAATAAATGAGATTAAATATTTCACTTTCACACCTATAGAGATTTCAATATAATTTTTTAAATTTAAGTACCTAAAAAGTTTAATTATAGAGATTTTAATATATATTTTTTAAATATAATGATCGATATACTAAAGAAGTCTAATCGAATTAAAAATAATATTAGTGGTTTATAATGATGTTTAATCTTCCTTTACATCGATGGTCACACCATAATTTACATCGAAGAGCTATAATAAGTTGATGTATTAGTTACCACATGGATGAGAAATAATATTAAATTTGAAAGGTGATGGTTCAAACTTAATAAATTAATTATTTTATTAAGTAGAACGTTATAAGTTTTTAAGTGAGTAAGATTAAATAATTGATTCATGATAATTAGAACGATGATCACTATTTTATATTTGTGGCACCGACTCAATAGATTAATAGAATAGTTATTCCATTAGAGCCACACGATCCAACATGCAAAACTGATATGATAATTATTGGGTCCATCGATTCGTCCATGAGCTGTTCGACAAAAGGAACAGATCGGATTGTGCTGTCAACTTGAATTCACGTGTTAGCTCTGTGTCCGATGATTCAGGTTGGATAAATTAATCCAAGTATGCATGCAATCCATGAGATGGAATCACAGCCTGGCGATGTGCTTGGACTGTTCCCAGACTCATCTTTCAACTCTTCGACACAGTAACAATCGAATCCTATTGATTGCACCGTCAACTTCTATCTCCTTCTGGTTCAAACCCACGCTTTTCAGGGTTCACATTGGCCAAATCAAAGTTTAGATAAGACTCATATTATTCAATGACATGATTGAGGGCTGCTGTTCTTTCCTGGTGCTTTGGTTTCCTGTGCTGATGGGTCAAACTTGATCGTCCATCGAACGGGGACTAAAAAGACGAGCTCCTTTTTTGTCTTGAGCATTGATATCTATCTCATGCTCGAAGAACACTTTGATGAAACTGAAGACAGCGGCTTTGAAGGATTGTTGATCTCCAAGTAAGGGTGTTAAGAAAATTTACAGTTATACCGAACATTATGTAGAGTGTTTTGTGAGTGAGAGAATATATTTCTGTGTGAAAGAGTTGTTCCAGCATCCTCTTCTTCTTATCTTATGAGAAGGTAATTTTCATAAGAACATCATCAGCATTATTCTCCGTTTTGATTTGATAGTATTTAGATGAGTTGGAGAGAGCAGATTAACTTCTTTCAATACCATCTCTCATGCTAACGTAATTTGTTTAGGCACCATAGTGTTTTTTTATTTATCTTATCCTCCATCGACACAAAAATCCTTTTATTTTTCGACTTATGTTGACTCGGATAGTAGCCACCTATCAAATACTTGAATAAATACTAAATTATTTTGATAGGAGAGATGGATTCTTCAAAGTGCAACCTAATTCACGAGTGTGGATTCTTCTCTTATGAGTAATATATAATATGAATAATTAGAAGAATCCTTTGTATCTTGGAATCTTATCATAATTATTTTTTTTATTGATCGATAATAATCATCAAATTTTAATTAAATTTATAATACAACTTATATAATTAAATAGTACGACATAATTTAACAATACTATGATCGAATTCTCCTCCGTATCTAACATTACATTATTTTAATGTTGATGTTCATATGTTTTTTATCTTTCGACTGTTCCACAAGGAAACAAAATCTAATCCTTCTATTCAAGCCATGCGTTTCACGTTCATCGTAGACAAACCTAATCGTATTCGATGAAATGAATGGTTCACATTCTAACGTGGCTACTGCTCTTCTATCCTGTGCTCTCTATAAACAGCTCCAACGTCTGAGCTAAATGGCACTCGACACCAACTCTCCATTCTCCACCCTCGGCGTCGTAGAGAAGAGCAGAGATTCGAGATGAAGCTCGCCGTTCCTCTTCTCCTCCTTTCTGTCATCTCTGCTGCCTTGTTCGCGGTCTCGGCCGCGGTGACGAAGGTCCCCGCCGTCTACGTCTTCGGCGACTCCACCGCTGACGTCGGCAACAACAACTACCTGTCGGGGACGGATGCCAAGGCGGACTTCCCCCACTACGGGGTTGACTTCCCGCACCAGACGCCCACCGGACGGTTCAGCAATGGCTACAACACCATTGATTTCTTGGGTGCGTGGTTGACCGATGCCATGATTTGACTTTGGGGCGATAATATTTCCTTTTTTCTTAAGAAAAATAAGAATAAGTAAGATATTCATCATTTTTATTCACAACTATAATTCTACCAATATTTATGAATTATGCATTAAATCATTATCAATGATTTAAGGGTGACACTATATAATAATAAAGTTATTACTTTGCAACATGAAATGTTAGTCACCAAAACAACCTCTCCAAATGCAAAGAAGTATATAATTATTTTTTTATATTTAATTTGGGGCAACTTTTTAAAAAAACACTCATATTTTGTGGTTTTTTTTAAAAAAGGCACCCCATTTTTTTTATTGAGGTATTTTTTTAATAATATTTATGATGTTTTATTGAGGTATTAAAATATTATAAATATTGTTAAAAAAATATTATAAATAACATCATATTATGCCTTTTTTATCGTGTAGTTCATTACGATATTATATTGATTAAGGTTAAGAGTCTATTTTGTTCATTTATAATGTTTTCGAGTAGGTCATGTTTTTATTATAGTGGTTAAAATATAATAATAATTTTTTTTATTTTAATTTAGATGATATTATTCTTAAACTATTATACTTATTTGAAATCATAATATGATATATCTAACAATTTTTAATATATTTTCATTCTATTTAGCTTATTTTTCAAGTAGTTTTTATAGTGCTCCATTGTGGTGTTCATAAACACTATCATAGATTAAAAAAAATAGTTTAGATAAATTTTATATTAGAGGTATTATTTGAAAAATAAAATAAAATAAGAATATCAATCTTAGCACTTGTGAAGTGAATCAATTTGTGTTCAATGTGGGCAGCAATTCATATGGGGTTCAAAAGAAGCCCACCACCGTATCTCGCTGTGGTGAACAAAACCCACCCGCTCATCCTAAGAGGCCGGCGAGGTGTGAGCTTTGCCTCCGGCGGATCCGGAATCCTCGACTCCACTGTGAGCTTTCCTCATCCTCTTTTTCCCTTCTGCAATGATGGCCTACCCTAACCCTCCGACCATCTTCATCTTCCAGGGCACCACCATAACCATGACAAAGCAGATCCAAGACTTCGCTGCACACGAATCCAACATCGCCTCGCGAGTCACCGCGGCAGTAGCCAAGGGACTGCTGT